TCCTCTGAGAAGTGCCTTCTGGTATGACCCCTTTCCCTCCTTTCTTTGTAAGAAACCAGGAAATCAAATGGAAAATCCTGTGGTAAGATCATTTTGAAGGTACAAACTTAAATACTTGGTACAGAAGTCAGCTCTCACAGCGATGTTAGCTTACCTCTGTTGTTCCTAAATGCTATTATTGTTTAGTGTGATAGCATATGGGCGGTATCCTGAGAGCGTGTCATTATTCTGGTTCAGAAATAATGTCTTATGCTCTCACTTTGGGCTCTTCAGGTCACAAGTAACAGAGACCTGTTCTCACTGGCTTGAAAGACAGATTTATTAAAAGAATCTGGTAGATCCCAGGGTAATCCAAGGGCAGGAAGCACTTTAGAGTCGGGCTATAGAAATTGGAACTGTGAAACAGAAGCAAGGAGTTTTTTCTGTGTGTGTCTGTAAGTGGGTTTGTCAAGCCTCCCTCTTGTCTGTAGACTGGCAGACTTTTGAGGCAGCTTGTTTAGGACAATGACGGGCACTCCAGGCCTTCTAGATCGTGATAACTCTCAATGTATCCTTTTGCCTTCTGCCCTGCCTGAGTGTCTCGATCCTGAATTCTCAAAAGATGAATTTAATTGGCTTTTTTGTCCACGACCACAGGTTTTAGGATTCTGGTCAGCCTGTAGGTTGGTTGCCGTTACAGTAGATGTTCTGCCTCACTTCTCCAGTTGGCTGTGCTTTGAGGCCGGTAGGAGAGGGTCTAGTGGTAAGAAAGCCCCTGGGCTTCCCAGTCAGAATGGGTTTTGGGTAGAGGGATGATGACAGACTGACCTTATTAGAATTGCATTGTAATTTAAAAGCGTTTTCAAGAAGCAGCTTATCTGTGACTTCCTAACGCTTTGCGGTCGTTTACATTTACCATGCTGGGGCAGTGCTTCTTAAACTTGAGCTTGATGGTTTTCTGTATCCTGTTAGACCCAAGTTAGGGACTGTGGCATCTTCATGTTTGTTTTTTCAGCACTCAGTCAAACTCATCCTTGTCCAGCCTCTTATAACATATATTTAAGCAAATAACAGCCTGTATTTGTGATAGAGGCTAATGTTTGATAGCAGAGGCCTGTGGTGAATTTTGAATAGGAAGATCCTCTAAGAAAAACAGCTCATAAAATAACATCCATATGCTATTAAATTTTCCTGTGTGCTTTTCCTTAAAACTGATTCCTGGCTACGGTGGATCTCTGGGGCTGGTTGCTATGTGAACCTTCACTCTACTCTTTTTGGCTTGGCCTTTTTTAGTTTTAGTCTTGTGTGTTTACCATTTGGGTATTCTAACCTGGGGGAGTTAAGATACGCTACACCCACAGTTTTATTAGTTACTTTATCATCAATACCTTATTTCCCTTGAAAACAGGTTAAAATCACTTGTGTTCAGTGGCAGTAACAATCATTTCCTAATATTTCCTTTTAAAGATTAGTGGTAAATAGTGGCACCAATATATTGCAGATAAAAGTAATTTGATAAATTATCGTGTTTTAAAATTTTGGTTTCTGTTTAAAAGCTAGAAAAGTCTTATTTAGAAAGCTTATTATTAGTAGGACTTACATTTTACTCTAGATATAAAGGAGATGAATTTTTAAGCCAGTATTGAAGTTTGGTTGTCATGTTGGTGATTTTGAAAAGCTTTTTCATTTTTATGGTCCTTTACTTAAACAGAACTGTCCTATTTGAGTAGGTACGTGCTCTCATACACTCCAGGACCCCATGATCATTCATGTCCTGGGAGCAACAGTGACAGAATTAATGTGTCCCAGACTTGACTTTCTAGGCCAGTGGTTACCCAATCTACTTTCTCTCTCTTTTTTTTTTTTAACTTGACAATGAATTCTACACACACACAGTTTTGGGAACCACTCTAGGCCACTAGTTCCCAGTCTGACCAAAGAGAACATCTCTTATTGGTATAGTTGATTGAACCTGGGGAATTTTCTCCAGGGCAGGATTGTTCCATTTAACAGATGCTTACTAGATGTGTATTGTGTCCAAGGCGTTATTATGTGCCATGGGAACTTATTAAAATGCATATGAATATAGATTTAACCATACTGCCCCCAAAATACTTTTGGCTGGCTTAAGTCTCATTGTCTTGTCTTGAGTTTTTCAAGGATCATAATGCAATTTCTTTTTCTTTTTTTTAGTGGAGGCACTGGGCATTAAACCCAGGACCTCGTGCATTCTAAGTATACGATCTACCACTGAGCTATACCCTCCCCCCATAATGAAGTTCTTAATGACAGCATTGAATCACTATAATTTGTAGTAATGCCTAAAAAATTCTTAGTCACATGTGGTTTAGGAACCATGCTGGGGCTTTTAGTTTCAAGTTGGCTGTGTCTATCTGGACTCTACCTAATCTTCCATATGTTACATTTGTGTCATACTTTTTCTTAATAATGCTGTCATAATCTCATACTATTGGGCAAGCTGATGCCATGAGGAACTAGCCCATTTCAGGGGGTTGGGTTCTTTTCCTGTTTTATAGTGAATGGAAGAGCAGTTTAAACATCTTTAAAGGTGTTGCATATTTGTAGAAGTTGTTTTGTGGACGTGCATTGGCGTTGTATATGGATAATGAAGCATCGTCTTTAGATGTCAGTGTTTGTTGGTTTGTGTGTTGGAAGTTGACCGGCTTTGTGCTGTCGTGTCACTAGGTGGAGATGTAGCATTGTTTGGTGGTGTAGCCACAGCACAGAGAGTGAGTCTTGATTTCTTTTCTTCTTATAAAAGTACTTAAGAGATATTTGGTGAGTTTTATTATACCCTAGGAAAAAACTTGTGAATTTCATATAATTCTGAGTTTTGATTTTCTTTGTTAGGGTTTAAATTCAGTCCTACTTTAATGTCTATTTTCACACTGATCAACTCTTTTAAAATTTTTTTCTCCTCTTGCTAACATTTCCATTGCCTATCCCTCATTATTTCATCTGACATAATCTGATGTCCCTAACCGTGGTTCTTTATAGTGGTTTGATTCTAAAAGTTTAATAAAATAAGAATATTTACTCTGAGGTCAAATATTATATAAAATTTCAATTTGGTAGCAGTAGGAACCACAGCTTATAGTCTGAACATATCCTAATCTTATCTTTGTATTATTTCAGGTTGACATTGTCAAATTGTAATATATTTAAATTCTATATGGCTTATTTTCCCCCCCTTTTTTTCTTTCCTTCCTCCTCTCTTTCTCTTAATTTTTTTTAAAGGTTGATAATGTCAAATGTTAACATATTTAAATTCCATCAGGGTTATTTTTCCCCCCTTTCTTCCTTCCTTCCTTCCTGTCTCTTACCTCTTGAATCTTAAATTCAATTATTGATGTGGGGAATCTGGAAGGAGTACCAGCCTGTCTCCAGAGAGCTGGTATCCAGTTGAGGACATTGCAAATGTGACCGTGAAGCATTTTAAACTAATTTGAATGTCTGAGCTTTAGAAATTGTAAAGGTGGAACTGAAAAAAACTTCTTGCTTTGGAAGACAGTCTGGCTGTTCTTCAAACGTTTAAACATACAGCTACCATATGATCAAGCAATTTTCTCTCCTAGGTATATACCCGAAAGAAATGAAAATGTATCTTCACACACACACAAAAGCGTGGGCATGACTGTTCATAGCAATGTGAATGAACATATGAATGTTCATTTGTAATAGCCAAAAAGTAGAAATAATCCAAATGTCCATCAACGGATACGTGAATGAACAAAATGTGATATATTTGTACAATGCAATATTAATAAAGCAATAAAAAGGAATGAAGTATTGATGCATGCTATAACATAAGTGACCCTCGAAAACACGCTAAGTAAAAGAAACAGACATAAAAGGCCACATATCGTATGATTCCATTTATATGAAATGTCCAGAATAGCAAAATTATAAACACAGAGCAGATCGGTGCTTGCCTCCGGCTGGACGAGGAGTAATGACTGTTAATGGTTATGGAGTTTCTTTTTGAGGGTGATGAAAATGTAAACTTAATTTTGGTGATGAATGTACCACTCTGCTAATACACTAAAAATCATTGAATTGTATGTGCATTTTAAATGGATGACTTGTATAAGAATTATATCTCAATAAAGCTATTTTTAAAAGTAAATTATCAAAAGGTTTAAGATGTATCAAACCAAGGAGTATTTATTGACCATCTAACAGGCATAGAATGAGTTCTCTGTGAGTTACCAAACAAGTGTAAGCCACAAACCCTGACCTCAGATTGCTTGCAACTCAAGAGACAAGGCACACACGCAGTAAAAAATAAAGCACTTAGCTTTCTGAATTTGTTCCCCATCCTTTGGATGTAACTTCTCGAATTCTGTTTTCTATCTGCCTCTGTAGTGGCCTTGATCTTACCCTTTGTCGGTTTTTTCCCTTGCAGAAGCAAACTGTTGCTCCTCAGACTTTGGTAAATAACAGCCCCAACTCATTCCCTTTAACTAACCTAAAGGACATTTCTAAACAAGAGTAATGTCTCCAGTAACTTATATTGTGTGGCTCCTGGAAACTGATTTATTCAGCCAATACTTGTTGCTGTTTCATTTATAAGTAACTGGCAGATCTTAAGACTGTCAGCATTATTATTTTTGAAATTACAGCAAATACCTTTTTAGTAGTTTAGTCAGGTTGCATGCTATTTAGAAGTATAGTCTTGAGTTTATAGACATTCATGAAAAATGCCTTTCAGGAAAGATTTGAAAGTTACACAAAGACATGTTTAGTATAGAGCTGGCTGTATCATTATTAGTGCAGCATTTTGATATTGTTGTGGTCATGAAAACTAAAGAAAGAGATTTTGGATCAGTTAGGGTAATTCTTTTATAAGTGAAAAAGGCTATTTTTTAAGGCAGTAGTTGATTAATTCTCAGTCTGTCAGGTTACAAGTTGTCCTTGTTTGTTTATTCTGTTAAATCTCTCTCCCTCTCTCTGAGTCCATGCTATCAGTGCACCAGCTAAACTCTTTTCTCTCTTTGCAGATGCGTATGAAACCGCCAAGATGCTGTGTGAACAGTATTACCTGGTTGCTCCAGAGCTGGAAGTTGAAGAATTCAATGGTAAACGAAAAATAATTTTAACCTTAAATACAAAGAAGCTGGCTAAAAAACTGATTATACCTGAGCTATATTTCAGTGAGATGTTCAAATTATGCTGCTTTTTCATCTTTTGTGTCTTTTTGAAACCTTTTCTTTATCTTTGGTCAATGAATTTTTGTACAGGACTGTGTTATTAGAACTCCCAAGTTCTTGAAACGAAAGTGATCAAGGTAGAAGCTGGTCAAAGATAGAAATAAGCAGTTCTCAAAATAACTAATGCAGTCAGTAAACATGGAAAAGTGTTAAGCTTTGCTAATCAAAGTACAAAGGAAAACAGAGAAATGCCATGTTTGTCTTTCAAAATGGCAATGATTAAAAAAACATTTTAATGCTTTGAATTGGTCCCCAGAAAAAATGTTCTCTCACCAACACTTATACATTTCTGGTGTAAGTTTAAATTGGTAGAGCCTTTCTAAAAACAAAAGGCTAACAATATTCTTTCTCAAAAAATTATAAGAAAATAGAGATGTGCACAGATGCACATAAGAATGACAATCACAGTGGTTTTCTTATAGAGAAAAATAAGAAAACAACCCAAGCTTTCCATAGTGACAATTATTTAAATAAACTGTGGTACACCTATAAGGTAGAATACTACACAGCCATTCAAAGTAATGCTTTAAGGAATATTTAATGTATGGGAAAAGTTGAATTTTTTTTAAACACAGGCCATAAAAGTTTGTAATAGTGCAAGTTCATTGGAAGATATATTGAAAGGTTTATCTCACCAAAATACAAACAACAGCTCTCTGGATAGTGGGGTTTTAGCTGAGTTTTATATTAATAGTATGAAACTATTATTTACATGTTCCTTTTTTTATTCACAAGCTACGAAAGAGACACGCTTCTTGTAAAACTACAAACATAAATGCAGAGTAAAAGGGAACGTCCCCACTACTCTCTCCCGTACAGAGTTTTGGTTTTTACATAATTGGGGTTGAAACCATTTGTGTTTTTACTTGTGTATTTCACTTCACCTTAAAGATCTTTGCATGTATTATTGTCATTTAGAGATTATTTATTTAATAATTTCCCATTGAGTGGACATTTAGGGTTTCTTTTTTTTAATTCTTATTTTTTATTGAAGTGTAGTCGATTTACAATGTTAGTTTCAGGTGTACAACAAAGTGATTCAGTTATACATATACATACATATATATTTTTAGATTTTTTTCCATTACAGCTCGTTACAAGAAATTGAATATAGTTCCCTGTGCTATACAGTAGGTTCTTGTTGCTTATCTATTTTATATATAGTACTGTGTATCTATCTGTTAATCCCAAACTCCCAATCTAATTTTCCCATATGCCATATAATGAGGAATGAAAGGTGTGGGTGTGTGTGTTTGAAGGGAGGGGAAATCTGTGGACGTGTGGAAGTATTTTTGTAGGTTAGATTCTTAGAAGTAGAATGACTGAGTCTTACTATATGGGCACTTATAATTAAACATAAACCACATTCCCTCTCAAAAATATTCCAAAAATATATTTCTCTTATAATGAGATCACAGCATGAGGACTTAGGCTGCTGTTGTAGGACAATTGCCCTTACATTCTGCTAGGAGGTATGGAACCAGAGCTGCTGTCAAAGTCCACTGGGTTCTCTGAGAAGAGTTGTATTTTGAATAAATACACCACCAGCACAAGTGGATTTTGTTTATGTATTCCTGAGTAGAAGCATCTTTTTTTTTTTGATAGAGGGGAGGTAATTAGGTTTACTTATTTATTTTTTTTTAGAGAAGGTACTGGGGATCGAACCCAGGACCTCATGCATACTAAGCATGTGTTCTACCACTTGAGCTATACCCTCCCCCAGAAACATCTTAATATTCTCTTTCTTCCTAATGGCTAGATGGAGCCTGACCTCACTGTCCGGATTTCTATTTGTCAAATACGGAGCTTAACTCACCAGTAGTGGTCAGCTTCTCTTTTGCTTCAATGGCAGCCTCATTCACTCTGAAGGCAGAGCAGTGAGCCTGTCCTTGCTGATTCCTGGGTGCCAGCTGGGTCAGCACAGTGAGGCTGTCACTCTGGGCAGTGCACCCCCCAAGGGGAGAAATTTTCCACCTATTTTTGGCACTGTCTCATGCATGATTTGGGGGGCCCTTTCCCCATCACTAAGAGAAGTGAATACTGGTGGTTACAGGTCGCCTCTAGTTTCCTGTTGCTTGGGTGGTGTATTTATGATTTATACTTCCTGTTTCTTGACTGCCAAAGCTCTTTGCGAGCACAGTTAGGTACTGCACATGCACTCTAACGAGCTCCGTGTGAGAGATAGGTCAGAGGTTGGTCCTGAACATTTTAAGCAGATGCTGTGGCTTTGTAACAAGACAGAGCCAGATTCAATGGATTCATTTTCAGAGCCTGTGCGAACCAGCATAGCATCCCCGTTCAGGGTGCTTCTGTTCCCCAGGGGGTGTCTTTAACAGTAGTCAGTGATAGCGCTCACTGCCCTCTGCTCAGCACTTGAGAGGAGTGAGGCCGCCTTCAACCCAAAAGAAGACTTTGTTGCTACTTGGGAATTTAAGTTCTGTTAGTTTGACATGTTATCTCTTTTTCTGAATTTTTTATTTTTTTCTTTCCCAACGGAGACCCCTGAGAAAGTAGTAACTAGGATTATGTAGAACGCACTGTGCAAACACCATCAGTATTTACCAGTCACCACTAGAATTCTCAATATTGGGGGCTAGCTAGAGTGCACTTCCTTTATTGTCTTCTCTGGAACACATTTAACAGGAATATTAAAAATCACAGAATTTTATTTACCTTTTATCAGATTTCTTATATTTCTGATTAGCTACCTGCGGCAACCCATGTGGGTTTCTCCAAAGACAGGTAGCCATTCCACCATCATTTTAACATCCTCATTTTCTTGAGAAATAAGTTGCCAAAGCATTAAGCCAGTCAGCAGTTGCACCTTACCTTTTTGCATCCATGTGATAAGGCAGCGTGACTTAGGGGAAATATGTGAACTCGGTAGCCAGCCAGGCAGTGGCAATCTGGATTCTGACACTTAGGAGACAAGTCACTTCACCTTTGACACTCAGCTTCCTCATCTGTAAGCTCACCTTGTGAGGCGATGGAAGGGTCGTGTTTCTAGGGCTGCAGATATAACACCAGACACAGACTAGAAATCTAATAAAGGGTGGCTGCCGGAAGTCAGGGTTGACTTGGGAAAGATAAGACTTATGCTTACCACTTACATTTCTTCACCATTTCTAGATTAGTTTTTCCTGTCAAGTGGTTGATTCATAGTTCTAGGTTTGGTGGGAAATGTAAAAATTTCAATTCATGCCATGTATATTTTGTTCTAAGAGGGTTCATAGAAAAGTATGTGTCTATCCTGGGATCTTTGACCTCTGGTTTCCCCATATTGGATACTTCTGTGGATATTGTCAGTCAAGTGGTTCTACACAAGAATCAAAAAATCGTTACTAGTAGCTCTGTTAACACTGTAGAAATTAATTTTTCAGTTGTGGTAATAGCTAATATTTATTGACTGCTTACTGTGTGGCAGGCTCTGTGTAAATTAATTTATCACTATTGTCTCATTTAATCCTTATATTAACCCAGTGAGATATGTACTGTGCCCATTTCAGAAATGGAATTCTGGAAGCCCAAATGGGTTAAATTCCTGTTAGTATACAGCCCTCCCTCGGTATCTGCAGGGGATTGGTTCCAGGCCCCCCCACGTATACCAAAATTTGTTGATGCTCAAGCCCCTTAAATAAAATGGGAGAGTATAGTCAGCCCTCTGCATCCGCGGATTCAACCAACTGCAGGTCGAGTTTCTCTTCCATTTCTCTTAAATGAATTTTTTCTGCTTAGCTTCCAGGTTTTTTTCCCCACTCTTTATAGGAGAACTATCTGAAAAAAAAATTCTTTATAGCCTATATAGAGTTCTGTTGGCATTTGTTAAATGTCATTTCACCTAATGGTATTTGGAGCAATGATTATGCAGATAGACTTCTTATTTCTTGAGTCTTGAGCACAAAAAGCCGGGACCATTTTTTCCATTGACTTTTAAAAATGTGCCCTTAGATGGAAAAAGTCGTGTTCCATTTAAGTTTTGTTTTAGAAAGCCAGCAAGCATCGATTAAGGGTCTACTGCATAAAAGCCACTGGACCCAGGAGTAGGGAAGAGTCATGGACAGAAACACTGACATGGCCTCTAATGGAAGGGAAGAGCTCTAAACGATAATGTTCTCAAAGTAAAGTACAAGTAGTTGAGCAAGCCTTCAAATGGCTCTTAGAGAATACTGGTTGAACTGAATAGCAAACAAACAAAACAAAACTATCAAAGGTATTCTAATTTCCCTGAGATTTGTAGTGAAAAAAAGGTTGAATTCAGAAGGCTGTTTATATAACTAATCGTGCCTTCTGGTACAAGGTAGACTGAGCATTCAGCATGCTCCTAGTGCCCCGTTAACAGGAGAACAAAGGAACACGGGAGAAAAACAGCAAGGGAGCAGGGGTGCTCGTCAGTGGGCCACTGATCCCACCTCCTGCCAGAGACTAACCAGATAGAAGCACTCTGGCCGGTGGGACAGAGCAGAAGAAGCCATGGAGGAGGAGGCCGCAACAGCAGTAGTACCAGATTACCCTGGAGGGACTCTGGAAACAGAGTCGGGGGGTGCACAGGGCTGGATTGAGAAGTCAAAAGATGGCGGATAATTCAAAGCTGGTCTGAGGTGAAGTAAGGATGGGTGATGGGGTGCGGCTGGACTCTGGTCTGCCTGCAGACAGCCACGTGTAGGCAAAGGTCAAAATCAAAGGAGTTTCTTTGGGACCAACCTGGGAAAAACTAGGGCTGTTGGTGTAAGCGTCGCTATCCCAAAGTTAAGCCCTCTTCACTCAGGCGTTTGGGACACCCTCTGGTCAGGGTCCAGCTTGCTTTCTGCCCAGCCTAAAGCCAGTGGAAAGTCTTGACCAGGTACACAGAACTCCAAGCCAGCCTTCCTAGGGGAGGGCCCCAGGGGGAAGTGACCACCAGCTCCCTCAAATGAATAATCCAGTTCCTCATTCTTCAACAAGAATGTTCCAAGCAAGGTGTATCAGACCTCGGGTGAAAACCAGCAACACGAATGAAAACCTCCCTGGCATTAAAGTTCTCAGCCGTGCTGTCATGGTCAGAAGACACTGCCCCCTACCATTCTAAATGCTGGGGGAAAAATGGTTTTGAACCTAGAATTCTGTCCCTAGCTAAACCTCCAATCAAATGAATCAGAGGTACGAGGATTGAGGAATGTATCTACCATGCACACCTTTCTGACATGAGTTACCTGGCTGACTTGATAGTGTATATAATGTAGATATAAGAAATAGTGAAAAACATTAGATTTTCAATCAAAAGCAATTTGAGGGTGATGGCTGTGCAGCATGTTTGGCAAGCAATCTATTCTAATTGAAACATCTTGAAGAATGGAATGGACCCCACGCGGTAGAAAAGAGGCTGGAAGATCTTAGTGTTGCGGTGAGGAACGCCTACTTCTCTGTCCAGTTCCCTGAGAGGCAAGGTAGTTAGAAACTCCAGGAAATCCGTAAAACTGTGTAGGAAAGACACGGTCCAAATATTCAGCAACCTAAAAAGGGTAGCATGATTTTGAGCAGTTGGAGGTGGATAAAGTGAATCCATTTCGCCTTAAGGATTCTCCTTCCAGTGACGCATGAATCACGACACATTGGTCTCACAGGGAAGGAAACGTCATCCCGGCACACCCCTGCGGCCGCTCCACAGTGAGCAGTATTTCCCTAGTTATGTTACCAACACAGTCGATGTTTAGCTTTTTAGAAAGAGCCTATAGGCAAAGTACAGAGGAGTTCATTAGGGCTACAGAACAGGACATGAATAACATCACCCAGAAGACTGAAGCAGAAGTAGTAACGCATGGCTGCCTCTTCGTGCGGACTGTGGGGTGAGATGGTAAAGGATGGAAGGACCTTGACTTTCCTTCTTTAAAAAATTTTTGAAAATCTTTTGTGCATTAGTCCCCCCTTTTCCATGGAGGATATGTTCCAAGACCCTCAATGGATGCTTAAAGCCACAGATGGTACCAAACCCTGTATATACTGTTTTTTCCTGTGCATACATGCCTCTGATAAAGTTTAATTTATAAATTAGGCACAGAAAGAGATTAACAACAAGAACTATTAATAAGTTAGAATCATTATAGCAACATATTGTAATAAAAGTTACGTGAATGTGGTTTCTCTCTCTCTCTCAAAATATCTTGTACAGATTTAATGGCCTTTTCCATCTTAGCTAACCCCTTATCACTCTGTAGCCATGTGATAGTTTTGTAGTTTGAGGTGTGACAACAAAACTAGCACATATTTCTTCTTCCTCCTTCACAATTTCAGGGATAGAAGATTCATTCTTACTGTAGATCTTAGCAATGTCAGCATACAGTTTTTTTCCTTATAAAGGAGAGAACTTTCACCTTTTCAATTAAAGGAAACACTTCACAGCATCACTCTACTTGTGCTTTGGGACCATTATAAAATAAAGGCTACTTGAACACGAGCACTACTGTATTGCAACAGAGATCTGCTAACTGAGGTGGCTACTACGTAATGGGAGGGATCTATTGGACAAAGGGATGATTGACGTCCCGAGCAGGACGGACTGAGAAGGCACGAGATTTCCTCACACTACTGAGAACTTATGGATTGTTTGTTTCTAGAAGTTAACATTTAATATTTTCAAACCTCGTTTGACCTTGGGTAACAGAAACTGCAGCAAGCTAAACCAGGGACAAGGGGAGACTGTTGCTTATATTACGTAATAACTTTAAAAATAACTGATCATCAAAAGGATCAGGACTTCGAATCAAAAGCTCTTGGTTCAGGCATCCAGTTTCAGGCCTCTGCAAAGCCTGTGTCCCCAGCCAGCCACCCTGTGGGCCACCCGGTATCATCACGAGGGTTCAATTGGATAATGTGTGTGCAAGCTCTTTGTAAACTGCTAAGAAACAAACAAATGTTCACTCTCCTTTATGTTACTGTTAATTACTTTATTAGAGGAAGTGGTAAGGTTGAAATTATAACATGGGTGTTTTGCTTGAGAAAGTTTCCGTAATTTCGGTCTCTTAAAGGTCTCAGGATTCGAGGTTTCTTGTATTTTCCTCAGAAGATTGCTGATGCGAGGAGAAAGGGCTGTAGGTCTCTGGGGGGGGGGTTCTGCTAGCTGTCAGTAGTGTGCCTTTTTCTCATAATTTAATAGAACTTAACATTGCTGTTTAGTCCAGTTCACCAAGAAGATGTGCCCCCTTTCCTCTGTGGCTTCACATTTCCCTGGCTGACCATTGTGGTCAGTGAGGGGGGACCCCATTTTGAAAAACACCAAGCGATATTTGGATGACCGTATGTAATGCTCAGAACATGACAAAGGTGATGACATTCCAGTTTTGCTCAGCTGAGTTCCAAAGAGAGAACTTTGCCCCAGATCACATAGCTGGTAAGTGAAGGAGCTGGATTTCAACCCAGGTTTGTTGGACTTCACAGCACATGCTTTTGCTCAACCCTGCCTTTAGAGATGGAAGCCTAAACTAGCCTTTTGTAGAGTTCTTTTTTATGTACTTGGAAATTATGATGCAAACAGCATTCTTGACTTTCTTCTAGTTTTGGTCCTTAATCATTGACGATTTTGTCTCTGTTTTCAGCCAAAGCTCCAGACAAACCTATTCAGGTAGTTTATGTGCCCTCACATCTGTTTCACATGCTATTTGAGTTATTCAAGGTAAGTGGAATTTAAAAACATGGAAAAAAGTCTTCATTTTAAATTACTTTGATTCAGGGCATAATGGATTCATTAGATTAGCATAAGAAAAAGGTTTTGCATAACCATTTTTAAAATTCTATTTCTGATATCCTGTGGGTTTTATAATTTGTACACTGTGAGATGAAAAATTGCTGTGTACAGTATAGTTTTTGTGAATATTAGTACATGTTGATTTTGAAGCTTAATTGTACTTTAGTGACTTTCTGTAAAATCCATACTGTTTTTTCTTCAGCTATGAGATTAGAGATGCTTTTTAGTTTCCAAACCTGGCAAAGGCTTTCTTGGTGGTAGCCAGGTCAAAATAAAAACATGTTTATGCATCTGTGCTTCTGAACACTAACCATGTAGGTCCATTAGCACTTGTTCTAGTCCTGAAAGAGACACTAGGACTTTTACATATTTGAATCAGTTCAGAAAATTCAGAATATCTGACAGAGGCAGAGGGGAAAGATGGGGAAGGGCTGGACCCAAAAAGACTACCCCCAAAAAAAAGAAAAAAGAAAAAAACTCTTCAGACTCTACAGCTTAAGCTGTTGCTTTCATTAGCCAGTAGCTAATGGCATGAAGTGGCAGTATTTTGGCACAAGGAGTTTGAGATAAAATTTCATTTCTTCCAATGTGTAAAACCCTAAATTGAACACCTGAAAAATCAGTTATGCTGATTTGCTTCCCAGAATTATCATGTTACTGATGTGACTCTCAAGGTTGAAATGGGCATCCAATTGTGGACTTTCTCTTCAGCAGCTGTGGCTTTTTCAGAATTTCTTTTTACCTGACATTTCATCTACTTTTTTTTTTTCAGCCGAATGATTAATTTTTGTGGGAAGCATGAATCCTCTCAGGTTTTCTGTCTTCTTTAGAGGAAGAGTGCTCCGTAAATGCAGACTGATAAATGGGATTTAAAGCACATCAGTGAGCCTTTGCAGCCCCATTACATGTGATAAAAAACATTCCTCTTGGTTAAGAGTTGAATCATTTAAATACCCCAAAGGAGAGACAAAAAGAAAAAAAAGAAGGAAAGAAAAATGAGTATTTAGTATGGCAGATGAGACCAAAATGAGATGAAAAACAAAATAAAGCATCAGGAAATTTTTCCTTGATCTGAACACACATTTGGTTAAGTTCTTTAGAGGGGGGAAAAGGTGCCGTAGAAATCCAACTCATAGTTGCCCCACAAAAGAACGGTTGAGTAGAGGTAATCTTGTGCTAGTTTCTTTTTTTAAAATTGTAGTTTGTGAGTTGGTGGTATGCTAAAAGAAAAGGTCTTGTGATTTCAGAACTCAATGAGAGCAACAGTCGAACTGTATGAAGATAAAAAAGAGAGCTACCCATCTGTTAAAACCCTTGTTACTCTGGGTAAAGAAGACTTATCCATTAAGGTATCTGCTCTATTCGTATGTATACTTGTGTTATCAATTAATTTAATAGTGTGTAAGCATTGAGGAATGAAAGGGAAGGGAAGAGAACTGACCCTGAGTGTCTTGCTCGTAAGTACTGCATTAGATCTTTGGCTTAAGTTACCTCATTTAAATTTCATTAGAACCCCATTTTTTAGGGAGCTGAACAAGGGTCTCAAACCCAAGCCTATTGGATCCTAAGTGGGATCCTAAATGCACTCCACTGCCTCCTTTGTTTTGCACTGTTCACTAAGGGACCGTATTTCATTGGGGGTTCAAGCCCTTGCATGGTTTAGAGTAACCTGGTACGTGCTTTATTTATTTAATGAACTCCTTGCCCCCTTCTAAGTGTAGATTGATGACTTCTCCTTCTTTTCCTTCTCCTTCTCCTTTTTCTTATTTTAACATTTTATACATTACAGATAAGTGACCTAGGTGGTGGGGTCCCGCTACGAAAAATAGATCGTCTCTTTAACTACATGTATTCAACTGCTCCAAGACCTAGCCTGGAGCCCACAAGAGCTGCCCCTCTGGTAAGTATCTGAAACCGCTGCTTCAGAAAAGACCATTAGGAGAAGGGACAGAGCCGGCTGTCTCCCGGGGTTGGCACGTTAGCTGTGTTAAACTTGAATGTGTTCTGCATGGTTTGAAGGAGGGGGGATTTTATGCCACTACTTCTTTCTATATAAATCGTTTGGACGCAGATTTCTTTCTTAATTTGTGTCTAAGAAACAGTCAGAGGTGAGTGCCTACCTCCCCAGTACAGAGAAAAAGCATTTCCCTGTGGATAAGACTCCTACCAGAGTGCCATTTACCGCCCGGCGCTCCCCTCGAAGCGGGTGGAAGCGTGATAGCAGGTGAGCGGGGAGCAGCACAGCGGGGATGGCTGCAGCTGGCCCTGGGCGCTTGGGCGCTGCATTCCACAGAGCACCACGTCACCCAGGGCCTTTGAGCTTCCCCCGCCAAATTTGTGTATATAATTAAAATGTTAAATTATGAACACATTAAATTTTTCATATGAAATGACATAAGTAGGAAACCTATAGGTGGCGTCTGCATTTCCAGAGCCCTTTCTGTCTCACTGTGGAAATAACCTTCAGCCCTATTAAGGCAGCGAGGAAAGCCTCTGGTTACCATGGCAGCATTTAGATCCTGGTAGGGCCACACTTTCTTTCCCCACTGAGTGTTTCTAATTGACAAACAACAATTGAACCCTTTGTCATTAAACACAGCAACATAGCTATCAGTCTGCAAAATGGTTCAGGGTCTACATTTTCATTTTCAAGTCCTACCTGACTGATAATCACATAAGATTATATTTTCTTTGTATGAATAAAATCCAACACTTAGCATCATTTATTCAAGACAGAGTTTGTTAACACAGCATGTTGAAAGCAGAGAGAAACTCATTTCTATAGGAGTCAAGAAAATTCTTGAAAGATCAATTTTGAAAGGCATTGCCTTGACCAGTTTCTGGTACCTACTTAAATAAATGTCACAAGGGAAAAAAAACCCCACTGCGAGCAAATACAGAGCCTTCCCCAGTGGTTTAGAAGGAATATGGATCATCTGGTTCAGGTCTCAAAATAGCATCTTGAGGACAGCTGTTATGTCATAGTTTTTTTAAAATGAAACTGAGCGATTGAATTAGGAGACCTTTAAGAAGTATGCATCCAACCTCCCATTTTATAGATGAGGAAGTAAGGTTAGTGCCTTGCCCCGAGTCATTGAGCTCATTATCGTCACAGCTGGCACGGCTACATCTGCATTCTGTCCAGTGTACCGCGTGCTCTCCTTTGGAAGAAATGCCTCTACTAGCATCTCTCCTGGTTAGTCAGCTCTCAGCTTTTCAGTGGGACTATGGCTATGAACTCCTGGAAAACAATTTCCTCATCAAACACCTTACTGTGTTACAGCTCTGTGCCGTGACACACACATTTCTTTTTCAGAAATGTCCCCCTAGCCAACTCCTATTGATCCTTTGACACTCTGGGAAGACTTGCCTGAACCTGACCAAACCCAAGGAGGAGGCCCCGCCTTTGCATCCCACGGGACTCTGGGCTTGCCTGTCTCCTCACACTCATATGGGCTCAGGAGTTCCTGGCTGTTCCCTGAGAGACCCGAGGGCAGGCTTGGGGCCTTGCTGGAATGGAGGAGGCAGGTTTCCTTGGCCCCTTCCTGGAGTACGCTGGGTCCTTTGCTGTGGTGACCGCAGTCCCCGCTGTGTCTATGTCATCTTCACTACTGGCTGTATTCTGCCAGGCCCACAGCCCTTCAGTAATGGTGCTCTGTCACACCCAACCCTTTGAGTTAGGCCCCACCCCGAGGAAGGTGTCCAGGAAAGATGTTACAAAATGATCAAAAGCCATGGAACTGGGTAAAATCGCTGCTGTGCGGTAGCCAGAACTGCAGCTTCCATTTATGTACTTTTGCTGTGTCTTAGGCACTGTGCCAAGACTTTCCACTTCTTAAATCATTTAATTCTAAGAGCAGCTCTGAGATAAGCTTCTTATTACACTTTCAGTTGAGAAAACAGCGTCAGAGACATTGAGCAAACTGCTCACGGTGGCACAAAAAGTGGATTTTGCCTTAGGTCTGTCTGAGCCTAAAACCCACGCATCCGCTGCTGCGCGTGTTTCCCCCCAGCCTCCTTCGGTAGCCTGTCTGCAGACTTAATCAGAAGGGCCAAAGCTTGCAAAACAGCCCCTTCCCCTCCACCTAGAGGTTTTGAAACCAGCCTCAATTGTTCTTACTGCTTTCATCAATACCAGAGACCTTCCTACCACCTGAAAACCTGTTACTGCCAGTCAGGGTTCTATGACCTGGAGATCCGAGAGGATACTGGGCTTGTTTTCTTGCACATTGTAAAAATGTGCAGGCTGCCATGCGTCACAACACTGAAGCATTCCCAGAGTCTCGGGAAGTAGCCCTTAGGAGATTGCTTTCTTTTCATTGTGTTAGCCTTGGCACTGGTAGGTTTGAACTCCTGTGCTACTCAATTTAATTTGCACTTTAAAGAGCAAGGGAAACAGATAATGGAACTTTGGAATGATCTGGTTTAGTTTGGTTTTCAGTTCAGTCCCACTTGATTTGGGACTTGCTTTAACAAGGCTAAAAATTTGTTTTAAAATGCTCAGAAAGCATTAGTCAAAAATTGAAATATTTCTATTATTTCCAAACAAACATATGAGAAGTGCTTTTGCAGGGTGAAAATAGATTGTTTGCCATAGATAAGCAAATACTGTAAAGGTTGGATCAATAATTTATTTGCTTTAAGTGTGGATCAAGAATTTATTTTAATCTTCGGGGTGGTCCTCAGGCTAAACGTGTTAGCATTTTGTGCCTGTCTGACTATCGTTTTTTCTCGATAGGCTGGATTTGGTTATGGTTTGCCAATTTCTCGTCTGTATGCTAGATATTTTCAAGGAGATCTAAAACTCTATTCCATGGAAGGAGTGGGCACTGACGCTGTCATTTATTTGAAGGTACTGCATTTTATTTCTATTATATGAAGGCGTCTTTACTTTTTAAAGCTGTAC